AGAAGGCAGTTATCAATGCTACTATGCCACGTACAGTAGAAAATGTTTGTCATTTCTCCTAAAAAGCTAAAAGCACATTAGGGATGTCATTAATCACTCCCATATGGAGCTGAGGCATAAAATTTTAAGGCTAGGGGAGCCTACAAAGTCATTTATTTCTGTTCCACTGACACCTGAAAGTTTACATTTTCTTAAGCATTATTCATTTATGAACCAAAACTTTCCAGAAAGTAGGCCAGGTTTATTCTACACAGAGAAACACTTCAGTGTGACAGCATGAACAGTGTTTTAGAGTGAGGCATTCTGTCATAGCTAAACTAAATCATGCCACTGCACAGTAAACCCATCACCTCTTGGTCTGTCTGAACTGTGCATGTACCACTCGCCAGCCCCAGGAGCATTACTGTGTATTCTTGAAAAATAATCAAGTACTCTTTGCAATCTTTACTTCTAATCATGTTATTTCAATATTTCTCACAGGGTTAGTTCACTGTACTTAATTATCATCAGTATTCTACGACATCTAGATTTTAAGTTATAAATGTAACTGACTAAAATCCTCATTATTACAACCCCATGAGAACCAGTTTTCTATCAGGAAAGAAACAGCAAGGTACAGCAAAGGCATACTATTAATTTTCTATAATCTAAAGCATTTAGCGATACAACTTTATTTACAAAAAACCCCAAAAACTTGTTAAAAATAAAAAAGATAAAGCTATTTTCAGCACAGTAATAATCTGTTATGAAGTGATAAGGACACAGGCATTATAAAGTGCTACACTATAGCAAAAGCTCAAACTGAGAAGAGCTAATTATGGGTAACAGCACTGACTTAATTTTTATAACTTTATATATCATTACTGCTGGTATAAATTTGGGGCTTTTTGTATTTAAGCCAACTTTAATTAATTTGGTTCCTTCTCAGCAATTTCTATAGCTCTGAGGTAATCAAAAAATTTTAAGTGAATTCTTACCATTTGTAATAATTGCACTTGTAGCTGCAGGAACTTTAAACTAAAAAGGAGAAAAAGTAAAAGGGAAAAAAAAGTGTATATATATATTAATTATAACTATAAAATACAGTTAGTAAGGATGAGATGCATATAATCAATTCTACAGTTCTAAAATGTGATATATCTCCTAGGATAATGTAATTTGCCTTATTTTTAAAGAATACTGTCCTCCAAATACTGATTTTCATCATATCTATGACACCACTGATAGTAAGATAGATCTTTTGTTCCACAATACCAAATGAAAACAACACTGCCAATTAACCTATGACCCAATCAGTATTTACTTTTTCAGAATGAGACATGTCAATACCATCATATTGTCTTCCTGCATAAGCATAGCAACAATATAAGCAGAATACACTGATTAGAATATTCCTACAATCTCCTCACAGAAATGGCAAGTTCCAAACAGGAGCTCTCTTGTGTTTAACAGGAGGGGGCAACATAAGATTTTCAGAAAATAACCAAGGCTCACATTCCTTCCTCTGATGCTCCTTAAATGATTGCTGACTTAAATCTAGAAGAAATGCTGTAGTCCGGCTATACCACCAGGACGTAACAACTAAGTTCATTTAGGTGAAGGCAACAACCATTAGATAACTGTGACTGTCACATGGCCAACAGTAAGATTCCACTGATAGGTGACACGTCCTTATTTCAAAAATGTCGTAAAAAGATGGGCTTTTGAATCAATGAAATATAGTATTAAACTTACTGGTAGCCAGAAGACCGAATTCTTCTCTTAATGTTCTAGAAGCCAGCAACTGCCAAAGTGTGTTCATACACAGTTCATTCATTTATCCAACAAATATTTATCAAGTACCTCTGTTCTTTGGATTAGTTTTACAGATACTACAGTTGAGTTCTGTGGTCAAATATGTTTATGAAGTACGAGGTTAAATTAGTAGTCTTCTCAAAAGCCTTTAATATGCTGCTAATAGGTCCCTGCATTCGATTCCTAACCTCAAGTTCGGTGGTTCAAACCCACCCAGTGGCACTGCGACAGAAACACCTAATAATCTGCTTCTGTGAAGACGACAGCCACGAAAACCCTAGGGAGCTTGGTTCTACTGTAACACGTGTGGCTGCCATGAGTCAGAAGCAACTTGACAGCAACAGGTCTGGTTTTTGGTTCTGTAGTATATTTAATTCCAAGAAGGATATAGTATATAAGGTGTTTCCCACATTTTCTGGCCACTGATGCCATTTTTCAGACTCCCACACCCACCCCGCCCCAATTTTATAGTTCTAGTAGTCTGGTGAAAACACTTTGAAGTGTTATAAATGCTCTCTAATAGTGACACGTACATAGTTGTGGGAAAAAAACAAACAACTGAGAGCTTACTTTACATTACTAATTGAAGAATCAAGTTTTACAATAAGAACTTACTATGCATAAGAACTATTTCTTGCTACAGGATTCTTTACCCAATTAAAAAAGAATTTTACTTTCAATATAGTACAATCTTAACTGTAAATGTCCTTTCAAAGATTTAAAATGTGTAAATATTAAACCTACTTTAAGATAACCTCAAAATGTACTTTAATAAGTAAATTTTAAAAAATTTTGTTTGTAGATGTTATAATGCTCAATAAAACTTTGATCAAATACCCAAATTAATTATAAGACACCTTAGATTTTTAAAACGTGAATCCTACAGTTTGCAGCTATCCTTCTGATTACTACTCTTAAATCATGCCCATTCTAAGATGAACTGTGCATTTTCTAAAGCATACCCATGTAATGGCAACACATTTTATGAACGTTAAAAAACAAAAGCAACTGCTAACACATTTTTCCCCTTTTTCAGTATGTGGAAGCAATGGTTAAACGGAAATTTGGGGAAGAATCAGTAGTAATGTAAAATACAGTAACTACATTTGTTTTACACTATATACAAATTTCTTACGTAAATAACAGATTTTCTCCTGGGTGCAAAGTGCAGTTTTTTTTTTTTTTTTTTAGCAGATCCCAAAAATCTGTAGTTTGTGATGTTAAGAGGCTCTTCTCAGGGCTTTGACAATTGATTACTTAGTTAAATAAATCCCCAGTTGTCTGTTTGGGAGTTTATTTTTTTATTAAGAGAATTTTACTAGGACTTTAAATCCACAAACTCTTGGTGATTCTAGTCTACTTTTGTTCTTGTTGAAAGATTCTACAATGTCATCTTGTGAAAAGCCCTCTCAGCAGTTGCTTGGATGTCACATCCTTTCTAACTGTGACACTCATGAGTCAAATTAATCACAAGCTACATGAATGCTTTAATTGATAAGTCTTTGCGTGAAGTTTTTTAGTTTCTTTTCTATAGCATATTTATTACTATTTTCTTATACTTTAACTAGAAGCCTAAGATCGCAACAGTGCCTTTGCCTTATAAAGGACAGACAATAAAGTAACTATAAAATATATATCATAGCTTATCAGATCTATTTCTTAAATCTGGAAATCCTGGGATTTATGTCCCAGATCAAGACTATTTCTTGCAAGTGATCTAGCAGCAAAAAGACAACGCTGTATTCAAATTTGTTGCTCATCTCTTTTTACTTTTTTGAACGAAGAACAGATCAAAGTGACTACAAAACACGAACTATCACTTTTCAGTGAAACTCTAAATGAGTGATGAACGTTGTCTGTGGTACCTGACAACAGCTTACGAGGAGCTGTTAAGTACTGACGGGTTGGCTGACTTCCCATTAATCGCCTCAGTAAAGGGTGGGATTATGGGTTGAGCTGTTTTTTTATTCAGTTATCAAAATTATTTTTCTAACCATAAACTTTTCTGAAGTTTTAGAACCAAAAATTTGGATTGGGGTACTCTGTATTTGTATAGCGCTTTTAATTTTGAAAGTTTTTTTTATAAATGCATTCACTTTAATCAGACAGGAAGTCCAGGCATTAACTACTCCCATTTTACAGACTTAAAAAAATCAAGGAAGAGAGAAGCTGAGGGACCTGCCCTAAGTCACACAGCTAATTAAGGATACAATTAAATCAGAACCTCAGGCTCCCAGGAAACATTCTGGTGCCTTTTCCACCATATCAAGCTACTTTTCCAAGTGTCATGTCAAAATAGTTGCTTTATGAATGTTTCTGATGATAATTTTAGATGCAAAAACTTTTATTTCTTAAAAACAGAAAACCCAAACACATTTTCAGAAACTAGACACTTAAAAACATCAGGTTTTACTGAGCATTTTACCATGTGCTCATTATAAAAAAATTGGAAAATATAATAAACTAAAAAAATCCTAAAAAACCTTGTAATTCTAGAAACAAAGCTAGTAAAAATACAAGATTCAGAGCACAGAGTGATATAATGTTCTTTTCCAAAAAATTAGCATATCAACAGTGTCTTTTCAATTTCAATATAAATTCTTCTCTTAACTTTCATTCTTCTTCTATGTGTAAATAAGCCTTAACTTTCTGACAGCCTAAACCAAAATAAAAACCACCGTTGCAGTCAAGCTGATTCCAATTCATGGTGACCCCACATGTTACAGAACAGGACTTCTCATAGGATTTTCCTGGCCGTAAGCAGACTGCCAGGTCGTTCGTGGCACCACTGGGTAGGTTCGAACAGCCAACCTTCAGGTTAGTAGCAGAGAGCGAACTGTTTGCTTCACCCAGGGGCCTTTAACAGTATAAATCCAGTGACTGATTAATCCACATCGAATTGGGAGTCAAAGTGCATTACAATACAAAGATTTCTGATACGTGTTACCAAACTACATTCCATAAAGGTTGTTCCAATTTCCATACTTACTTCTTCTGCTGCAAACTTTAAGACTGCTGTGAAAGGTGTATTTTCAGGAACACTGAGTCTGCAAGAAGAATTAAAAAGAATCCCAAAAACCAAAGTTTTTTTTGTTCTTTTTTAAACCCTTTGTTCCTTAGCTCAACTAATGTAGCAGACCTGGGCAAAGCTGTCTTGAGTTTGAAGGTTGGATTTTTTATTTAACATTACACTCATTCACACTTATTCACTCTAAAGAGAAAAAAACCTATTAGCCTTATAGCTGAGATGGTGCCCCCCACTTGAAAATAACAACCCATACAGTTGTAGATTTATACACTTTTAAAGCTTTGGAACAAATAGGTCTTCCATACGGGATGTTGTTTGCAGGATGGATTTGAAAAAACACGTCTCCCCTTAGTCAGTACACTTTGCGTCCTCCAGGTTCAGTCTAAGCTTTCCACCAGATGAAGTAATGCTTCCATTTTCATGGTAAGTAGAGGCTACCTGGGGAGCATCATAGCATCCAAAAGCTTTTCACAAACTCACCTGTGATCTCATCTGATCATGTCTAAAACAGGAAAGCAAGTCAACAAAAAATGACAAAGTTCACTATGGCAAAATGCTAAAAATGTGGCGACTGTTCTACCTTTTATTTTATCATTTGAAAAACGGCTTAGGATGATCAGAAATACTGTTTTGGATGAGGATGCATGATTTTGCTAATTGACAAATAAGTACATTAAGGACAGTTGATAAACTTAGATGTTTTTCTTTATTAATGATTTAGCCCCAGGGTCAATCTGTATGATTTTTCCAATTTAAAAAACTAAAAAAAGAAAAAAATTGGTATTATACACTAGGAAAACACTAAAGACACAGGACACAGTAAGAGGTTAAAGAAAAAGTAAAATAAAAAATAAGGTTTCTAATGTAAAATAAATTACAATGATTAAAAGAAAGAAAACCAGGTTCTCTTTCAAAACAGGAAAGAGTGACTGGAAGATTAACATCTCTCTTCAAAACTTCTCTGTTTATTACCATTCATCTTATTCTTTAAGGTCTTAATACCAAAGTAAAATAAAAAAATAAGGTTTCTAATGTAAAATAAATTCCAGTGATTAAAAGAAAGAAAACCAGGTTCTCTTTCAAAACAGGAAAGAGTGACTGGAAGATTAACATCTCTCTTCAAAACTTCTCTGTTTATTACCATTCATCTTATTCTTTAAGGTCTTAATACCAACTACCATAATGTAACATTCTCACGTACATGACCGTTTTTTCAGTTAGTCTGCAGATCTCTAAATATAAGAATGATTATATCCGCTACAGCACATCTCTACTTCCAATATAAGAGAAGTGTGAAAAGATTTCTTGTCTGCCCCCATTCCAAACATAGAAAAAAAAGGGTGAAAAAGCGTATCATTTTTTTTCTTTTCTGTCTCTTTTTTTTGGAAAGGTCAAGAGAGAATAAAAACACATTCCTAATGTATAGTCGTTTCTTTAAAAATTATCTAATAATGTGAGAATTTATAAAACAAGGAATAAATAGTACCTTGCAAGTATTTCCAGAATATATCTAGTTTAAAATCTGAGATTCTTTTTCCTGAAATTCTGCTTCCAAAAAGAGTACTTCGAAAACCTCAGGGTTTCAATTTACTTTACATTTGGAGAATTGGAACTATCCTTGCAATATATAACTCAATGTCATATTGATATCTGTTAAAATAAATTTCTATCTATATTAAGTTGGTAAGACTGTTCACAGAAAAGACAGTAAAACACATATGAAAACTTGTATTTTATATGTGTTCTAACCGGCAGAAAACGAGAGTGACTGCGAGTGACTGCAATTCTGTAGCCCTTCTCTCTACTCGAAGCTGTGTGTTTGCCAGTCAGTATCACTTTGTAAACTGGCACTGGTGTTATACTGATATTTTGAAAAGAAAACAGAACTCTCCGTACATTAAAGTGAATATTTAAACTGCTGGCATCATTTGTTCTTTCTTTTAATAACTATTCCATATAAACAGAACTGCAACGAAACTTGAAAAGTGTTACTATAAAGAATCAGAAAAAAGTACTCTAGAAAACTAGAGAAGGGAGAAATCAAATTCTAGACAATTACAAACATCTTCACAGAGGTGAAACGTGGATTATTAAAGGATTTTGTCTCTTAAGATGTGGTCGTGATGTTGCATTCCACGCACAGAAAAGACCATGTATGAAGGCAGGGCGCACCCAAAGGGCTGGTCAGCTTGGGAACAGTGTGGCTGAAGCTTCAGCTAAGTGATGGTGGTGGCGGAGAATGAAGAAGAGGTGGTGGAAAATAAAACTAGAGTGCAAGACTTAGACGGAGAGAGAGTCAAAGGTGTTTTAATTCACCCTGTATACAAAAAATGTTTAATTTCAGCATTTCTGTAACTTAGTTGCAATACAAACAGTAAGCGTCATAAGCAACAACTAAACAAAACAAATAATAAAAATTATGACACTCCCAAAAATAAATCTAGAACTACCTGAAACAACCTACTTTCTAGAACTCAACTATCAGTAATGCTTAACTCAAGGAAGTTTCTCTATCAAAGCATATGTCTGCCTGCTTGGCAAGTAAAAAGTGACTTCAAAGAATTAAAGCATGATGTTTTGCAAATCTAGCTGTTCTAATACCCAAGTTACCATTTACTTTGAATAGGAGATATAGCATAACTATACACATGCACGTTATGTATATACAGACACACAGCCACACACATACTAAACAATATGTATGCTTACTAAATTCATTCAGTCACCACATATTAAATGAGCTGGTACAACGTTCAGGCACTCTTACACTGATACTGTCCTACTCCATTCTCCCCCCTCCCTTTCCTTCTAGAATATGTTTACACATTGTGGAGAATAATCCAGTACAGAGGGAGAAAGCAATGATGGTGAGAGAAGAGTTTTGGACTCTATCTACTTGAATCTTGAGACTAAAATGGATGGGTTCCAGAGCCCAAGTGGGACAGTTGGCTTTTTACAGGAGTAAAGTCATGCTTCCCATTCTACCAGGATGGGAGAAGAAATACAGGTTTATAGACGTAGATTAAAAAAAAAAAAAAAAAAGTACGTCTCACATACTTTGGACATGTTATCAGGAGGGATCAGTCCCTGGAGAAGGACATCATGCCTGGTAAAGTAGAGGGTCAGCGAAAAAGAGGAGACCCTCAATGACATGGACTGATACAGTGGCTGCAACAACGGGCTCAAGCCTAACAACGATTATGAAGATGGCGCGGGACCGGGCAGTGTTTTGTTCTGTTGTACACAGGGTCACTGTGCGTCAGAACGAACTAGATGCCACCTAACGACAACATATGTAGTAGTAAATTTATAAATGTGGTGATGGAAAGAGCAGAGAATTTCTCCCTGATAGCTTGGGAACGGGAAAACGAGTCTTAGGAAGTCTGAACAAATATTAAAAAAAAAAAAAAAAATCCTTTTAGAGAAAAGGAGGAAAGTGAACAAACTCCAGAAATATAGTAGGTTGCTGGATGCTGCTGAGTACAATCATGATTCTTACACATAACCCATCGGACTGATGATGTACTTTGCTCTGGCAACGTCCAGTTATGTACAGAAAACACGTGGCTGGGTTCAGAGTTGGTGTTTCACCAAGCACTTCCTAAAACCTCTTTCCCTAAGACCCGTTTCCCCCTATTCCCAAGCCATCAGAGAGAAATTCTCTGATCTTTCCATCACCACATTTATAAATTTACTACGACACCTATAAACCTGTATTTCTTCTCCCATCCTGGAAGAATGGGAAGCACGACTTTACTCCTGTAAAAAGCCAACTGCCCCACTTGGGCTCTGGAACCCATCCATTTTAGTCTCAAGATTCAAGTAGATGGAGTCCAAAACTCCTCTCTCACCATCATTGCTTTCTCCCTCTGTACTGGATTATTCCCATCAGTGTGTAAACATACTCTAGAAGAAAGAGGGAGGAGAGAGAAGCTGGGGGTGCCAGAGTTGAGGGTGTTTGCAGGAGAGTGATTTAAAGATGGACCCCGAACTCTAAGCTAAGGAGTAGAGATGTGGGGTAAGGTGTGTGTGTGGGGTGGAGGGAGTGGTAGTTATAAATTGAAAACTCGGTGAGATCAATGGCTTATCAGCAGTAAAATGCTGCAGAGGAGATATTAAAGTCAGCTGGGAGGAGAGAATAGGATTACCTATAATAAGAGTTCCTGAAAACGACTCTTTGGAGATGACACAATTACTGCAGATGAAAGGTTCTGGTCGGTGACCATGCACACCTGAGATAAGGTGGAAAAAGGATCATTTGGAGATGGAAACATCAAGAGGAAAGGAAGGTTGGGAGGGAGCATGGGCCATGGATGGGCTACTGAACTCACTGACATTAGTAACAGCTGTTATCAGTTCAGTATGCCTAAAATCCTGTTGTATTCCGATTCTTCACTGTATTTCATTCGCCTTCCAGCTGCAATAACCTCAGGAGTATTGACTTAAAGTCACAGAAAGGTCCAAATGAGTATGTGGTTGGACTACTGCAAATCCATCATCTCAACTGCCAAGGATAAGGAAAGGCCTCGCACGGTAAAGGTGTCATGTTTCCGTATTTTCCGTTCCTACTAAAAACTCTTTAAATCCCAACACAGAAACTCGTGATTTGAAGCACACTGCCTTGTGATCCCCGAATGCTGAATGCACGCACACATCAAGAATCAGGAGTCTGGCAGTAACAGCCATCCCAGATTTCAGAGCCTGGACCGGGAGGTCTCCCTACCTTCCCCTAACAGCCGCTCACAGTAGGGAAAGGCCGTTCTAACCCTGGCAGAGGAGGAGTTCCAGAACCCCACCAGCCCGCCAGAGCCCTGTCCCCAAGTCCCCCCACTCCCCTCCGCCCAGAAGGAACTCGAGGGGAGACGGCCACCAGCAGAGCCGTTCCCGTGCCCACACCGCGCCCTCGTGCACGAGCCAGCCGACACCCTCCTCCCAGCCTCCCGCGGGAGCGGCTCGGCGAGCCTCAGGGCGCCACGGGTGGAGCAGTTCCGCGGCTCGGCCACCCCGCCGGTCCGGCCCGTCCAGCCCCCAGGGGCCCACCGCGGCGCGGCCACTCACACTTTGTACGGCAGCCGCGGGTCCGACGTCAGCGTGATCTTAAAGGAAACCTTCGACCTGAGGAGGACGGCGGGAGAGAGTTAGGGTCAGGCAGCAGGGCCGCGGAGCGGGGCAGCTGGGGAGCAAATACGTACATGGTGAGCGGTCAGGCCGGCTCCCTCGCGCCGACTACGCCGAGCGCCGCCCCCGGGGCCGCCCCGCACCCGGGCCACGTCTCCTTCATGGACTGGGGACCTCCAACCTTGCTGCTGTTCAAGATGGTGCCTGAAAGTTGCCTCCAGATGGTCACGTTAGGTGGAGCCTTCAACTTACAGACAGCTAATATTTTTGCATTTAGATACTAAAGTATGGACTGTGTGAAGAGAATACTTCCCCAAGTGTCGTTATTTGCTGCAGTATTTTTAGTCAGGCAGTGCAAACGTGGTATAGACAGGCGGCCTCTAGGCCCCAGCGGGCAGGTTAGGGCGGAAGTAAGCGAACTGAGAAACTGGCGGAAGAGCGAGTTGGGAGGAAGGCGGCGCGGAGGGCGGGGCGGGGGAGGGGACGGGGGCGGGGTCATGGCCTGAGGCGCCCCCAAGTTGCTAAGGCAACGCACCCTAAGTGCAGCCCATAGATTCTGTAGAAACTAGAATCTTAATCTGCTTTAGTGTTCGTATTCTGCCTTTCCAGCAAACCAACCCTGTTATTCTCATATTTTTTCCTTCACACTTTACTCTCCATTACTGACTTCTAATTTGTAACAGACAACAGAGTTAGCACAGTAACATAGAACGGAGAGAACACTGCATCTTTTAGACGCATGCTGGGGTTGGTGAGAAACACAAGTTCCCTGTACCTTGAGGAACTTGGCATCTAGTTGGGCAGACCGACCCATAAACAGGAGATTTCAATAGTTTGTGAAGTGATTTAATAGGATTAAGCACAGGGCGCCAGGTTGCCGATCATCAACCACATTTATTCAGTTTAACAACAAATTCTGAACCCTTTCTCTGTGCTAGGCTGTAAGCAAAACGCTGGGGATCCCAAGATGAGAAAAACAGATAGGTGCCAACCTCCTAGGATCTAACAACCAGAGGTTCTTGTACTGAGGAGTACCAATCTATTCCAAATCTAAGCATCTGTGTTTGGAAAAGAAACGTCTCTCTCACAACGATTGTAGTGCCCTGTTGCAGACCGCTGCAATTAATAGGAAAAAACAGGTGGGTGCTAACGTAACAGGGGGGATCTAGGTAATCTTTAGGGTGTGGGTTTGGTTCTTAAGGGGAGATAGCTAGGAGAGGACCAGGGAAGAACTGCAGTGGGTATGCTGAATTCCAGTTTCAAATTTGCCGTAATTTTGTAGCAGACTGCTCCTCTATTGCCGAGATCTCCCCAAAGAGAAAACACTGCTTTTGGTTGCAAGAAAGTGTTGTTTTTTGTTTGTTTGTTTGAAACCCTGGTGGCGTGGTGGTTAAGAGCCTTGCCTGCTTAACCAAAAGGTTGGCAGTTCAAATGCAGCAGGTGCGCCTTGGAAACCATGTGGAGGTTCTGCTCTGTCCTGTAGGGTCACTATGAGTCGGAATTGACTCCATGGCAACAGGTTTGGGTTGTTTTGTTTTGTTTTGTTTTTTGTTTTTTTAATTTTATTGTACATTAGGTGAAAGCTTACAGAGCAAATTAGTTTCCCATTCCAGAGTTCATACATAATGTGTTCCATGACATTGGTTTCCTTCTCCGCAAGGAAATGTTTTTAGTTACCGTGGAATCCGGACTGCAACCCCATGCACAACAGAAGGAAAGGTTGCCTGATCCTGTGCCATCTTCACACTCAGTAGTGTGCTTGAGTCTATTGTAGAGACCACTGTGTATTCTGAGCGTCTTCCAACCTAAGGGGCTCATCTTCTACACTATATCAGACAATATTGTTGTTGTGATCCATAAAATTTTTACTGGCTAGTCTGTCTTAGTCTGGAAACTCTGCTGAAACCTGCCCACCATGGCTGACCCTGCTGAAATCTGAATTACTGGTGATGTAGTCTCCAGCATCACAGCAACACATAAGCCACCACCATATGACAAACTGACAGACGGATGGTGGGGTAGGGTCGTAGAGCTCCAGTGTTCTCATGTCATTTGTTGTCTTGTTCACTTTTTAAAATGTCTCTCTGTATATATAGAAAGATGGACACAAATATTGATTAATAGACTGGGATATCAACAGTATAGCTTTAAGAGCAGAAAGGACGGAAGTAGTGGCTGTGACTCAGATTTCTGAGAATGGCAATGCAGAGAAAACTACTTGTGCCTAACTGATGTCAGCTAGCCAAATAGCAAAGGGAAGCTTAAGGTATGTACTTACTCCCTATATTTCCAAGAATACACATTAGGTATTTTTAAACAAAGTTTGTATCATGCTATCTGTAGTTTGGTTTCTGCTCAAGTGTAAAAGCATGTGGAAAAATCCTAAAGGGAAAAATTATTTTGATTAAAGAATTTTTATTGAATGTATAAAAAGTAGTAAAAACAGGATTCATCCCCAGGCAGTATGACTTCAGAACTCACATGCTTTTTGCCTCTTCAGAAAATATATTGATATAACATATGATATCAAAATTACAAAGGAAAACACATAATACCCTCAAAAGATGTTGAAAAGTATACATTCCTACGTGTTTAGGATTCAGTCCCCCAACTCTACTCCTGCATGTTTGTCTCCTCATAGTCATGATGTAATTTCCAGAGCCTCTGAGTTTTACTTTTATTGGGACAAGAAGAGAAATGATGAATGAATTTATTTATATTCAGCATTTTAATTGTTGTTGTTTTAACTTTGCTAAGGCATTTTGAAATTGGGATATTTTAGCAAAAGAAGGACCTTCTCGTTCATTGAAAAATTAAAGAGCCGAAGTACAGTTAATGGCTGTAAACAGAAGCAAACTCAGGATTTTGGAAAGTAATTGGAAAATCCAATATTTAATACAACAAACAACATAAATGGCCTAATGTGTTTTGGAAGGACTCCGATTAGTATCATGTACAGGCACAAATAATTGTAGAAGTACACAGTGTAACCACATTAGAACTCAATAATGTTAACGAAAAATACCAACATTCTGTTTGCAAACACATATAAATTTCTCTACTAAAAAAGAATTGATAAGAAATTAAATTTATATAAGGACAAAAAGATTTGCTGACATAGTCATAAAAATTCACCTTACTGGTTATTGCTGTAGCCAGGTTAAATAAAACAGAAAACACGCTGGATTTGGATGCTAATAACAGTGTCTTCCTAATGTTTTACCATAAGTTGACTGTGTGTATAATAATTATGACTAAAACCATCTGACAGTCAAGTTATATAATTGTGGAAGGCTTAAACTGGGGGAAATCTTAGGATTACCTCTTCCAAACTTTCTGTATTACAGAAAAGAAATTGTAGCCTGATCAGTTAATAAATAGATATTTTTATAGTAGTTTAGCTTAGTCATTTTTTTTTCTATTACCTTTTCTCCCCCACAATCCTCTAAGGAAGAGGAGACATAAGGTTCTGAAGAGAAAATTGGGCCAATGATAATAATGGCTAAAATTTACAAAAATGTATTTTGTGCCAGGTATTATGTTAAGTACTGTATACAAGTGTAATAGACTTGAAGCATTAATCTTGGCTATAAGTTGCAATCAATGAAAAGGAGCCTCATGCAAAGAGGAGAGGTGATCTAATAGACAGAAATCCTTTGCCATCAAGTCAGTTCTGACTCATAGCAGCCCTATAGGCAGAAGCACTTGGGAATAATTAAAAGCTGTGTTGATCCTCAAAATAAAGACTAGAGTGTTAGGGAATGTTTGAGTTCCTTGAGCCAAAGAGTACAATGAAATTAAGGTAGGATTGGAACCAATGGTTAACACAGAGAAGCACCTTGGAAGAAAGGCCTGATGATCTGCTTCGAAAAATCAGTCATTGAAAGCCCTGTGGAGCACAGTTCTACTCTGACACACACGGGGTCGCCTTGAGTTGGAATCGACTCCGCGGCAACTGGTTGGAAGACTAGGCAATGGCCTTACAGGAAATTACAGCTTTAATGTACTACACCTGATTATACACTACTTTTCCAGTGTTTACTGAAATTGGAGGAGAAGAAACAACAGGCTTTTCTAGGAAGGTTATCAGCTCACTATAAAGCTTATTGCAAGATTTATAATTTATTAACTATAGAATTTGTAAAATACCTCTATTACAAAACCAAAACCAAAAAACCAAACCCGCTGGTGTTGAGTGGATTCCAAATCATAGCAACCCTGTGGGACAAAGTAGAACTACCCCATGGGGTTTTCAAGGTTGTGATCTTTATGGAAGCAGACTGCCAGATCTTGGTCCCACGGAGCAGTTAGCTGGTTCTAACTGCTGACCTTTCAGTTAGCAGTGGAGCTTAGTACCATTTAGATAGAGAAAAGATTCTACCCATTTTTTTTTTTTTTAACCAGGAACTTTCCAAGACTTCTTCGGCCTTTTGAAAAATCATGTCACCAACAGCAGCATACTCATGGTATTTGAGTTTCCAGTCAACATAGCTGCATCAGGATGTCTTTGTGGTTGTCGTATTGATGGTGACCCTACATACTTATAAAGTGGTGCGTTAGCCATTCCACTAGGATCCCATGTTTAAACGTGCTATGAAACTTACATATCGAAGTACATAACACTTTATAATAATTTACTTTTATCCGATAGGACATTGTCTTGGTTTCCTAGAACTGCTGTAACAAAAAATACAAGTGGGAGGCTTTAAAGAACAGGAATTTATTGTGTTTGGGGAGCCTGGAAGCCCAAATCAAGACATCAGCTCTACAAGAAGGTCTTTCCTGTGGTAGTTCTGGGCATTCCTTGGCTTGTAGATGGTTTCTCACTGGTCTCTTCCCCCTGTGTGTGTCTGTTTTGTCTTTTTATAAGACATGTCTAAGGGATTAGGTTTAGGACCCATCCTACTCCGGTATGACCTCATTAACATAACAAAAAAACTTATTTCCAAACAGGGTCACATTTACAGGTACACTGTAGGATTTTAAACATATGTTTCTGAGGCACACATCCATAATAGACATAGTATACATTTTTAAAATTATGTGCGTAGGTGGCCTGTATTATCTAGAAATCTATATTCAGGATAAAACAAAACAAAAACCAAACTGGTTGCCATCGAGTTGATTCCAACTTATAGTGACCCCCATGTCAGAATAAAAAAGGGAGCATTAAAATGTTTGTAATAAAA